AGTACACGTCTCTTCAATAAACCAAAAAATTAGCTGGGCGTGGTGGCATGTGCTTTGTAGTACCAGCTACTTGGAAGACTGAGGTGGCTCAGGCGAAGGGTCACTTACCTGAGCCCAGAAGGATGAGACTGTGTTAGCCGTGATTGTGCCACCACACTCTGGCCTGGGCAACAGAGTGAGAATCTGACTCAAAAATAGATATATAAATAAAAGATTAAAAAGTTTTAAAAGCCCTTTTTTAATATGTAGGTAGTTGTATGTCACCATTCAGATATCCAATCTAAATGCCAAAGACAATAAAATTAAGTTCCATTTTTCTAAATAAACGCTCATTGGCAAATTTCTGTGTAAATGCTGAAAGAGAAAAATCTGAACATGTTACTACTACCATGTCCTCAATTCCGCAATAGTTTTGCTCTAAATTGGCAAAAAGAAAATGTCCCTGACCTCATCCCTGTGCAATCCTACTTACACTTACACTCCCTAGCCACATCTGGCTCCTTCTTGATTCTCTCTTTGATTGTCAGCCACATTTACCAGTTTTTGACTCTCCAGTGATCTAGGTTCTCCGATAAGAGACCCTCTAATGATGAAGACCCTGTGGAAGGCAAGTGTTCATAAATATCACCTTGTTAGGCAGGAAGATTCTTGAGCCCCGCCCTGGAACTACTGAGACAGAATCTGCATTTTAACAAGGTCTCCAGGAAATTCATAGGCATTGAAATTTGGAAAGGACAGATCTAGGACGCCCCCTCCTCAGGATCCTTTGTCTTTTATTTTCTTTGCTTCTCCCTCTGATATCTGCCTAGTGAGATTGATCATCAGATTTCAGCTGAAACTTTGGGAGATAGGTATATGACTGGAATTTGAGCTGCAATTTGCATGGGAAAGACAACTTTACTTGAGGTTGACCTCTGAAAGGAAAATAGATCTTTGGCCTCATTAAAATCATGTTATGATGAGTTCAGATAAGACCATACTAATCAAAGCACTCAGAATAACAAATTTTATATATAAACTGTAGTTTGCACAAACATGTCAAGTGTTATCTGTGGTGGAAAACAGGGTATAAAGTATAATTATAATTTCCATTCTTAAAACCAGAACTGACTATAGTGACTTGATGTTTATGATGCTAGGGTCTGTAATGTCCCGAAGGACAATTTGAACTTCTCATACAGGTCCAATCTTATAATGCCCAGTAGAACCACTAACTCTGTCCTAAAGGAAAGCCTCAGGCTCTCTTGGGACAATTTCAGTTCCCCGTTTCTTCCTGTTTTGGCAAAAACACACAGTTGTACAATTGGTGGACTTTTGTGTTCAAGGCAAATTTATATACACACATTTTCCTCAGCTTAGGAAATGAAGTTTCCAAAATCAATCAGCATGCCAAGAATTGCTACCTCTGTTTTTGCCATTTCTGTGCTATAATTGTATTTATTTCTACTTTAGAAGTCGAACACTTTTAAAGAGTCTCCACAATTTTTTCTAGGATATGGGTAAGAGATAAATGATTTCTATAATATTTATTATTCTTTATATAGAAGGTTAAAAATTTTGTTTAATTTATAATATTTTTAGATTGGATTTGTAAGACATCAAAATGAAAACTACTAGTGAATTATTTGCATACCTTAGTTTTACAAAGTTTGGGTGAGCAAATTGCATAAGATTAATTTGTTCCCTTTAATAATGTTTTACTACCTTGTTAACCTAACTATAATGACTTTATAAGTAAGTTTTGGTGAAGCAGAACATTAATTTTAAAAAACAAATTTAAAGATTTAATCATAATGATTGTTATATAAGATACCCTTCTGTTGATGCTGACAAAAAGACCTATTCTGTTTAATTAAATACATATTCTGACTAAAACTTTTTAAAGAGTCACTTAAATACTTAGATCATCTATCCTTTTAATACTAGTTCTGAAAATATATATGTATAATATAATACATATATTTTACATATATATAAGTATTACAAGTATACCCTCTCCATTGCTTTTTTCAGCATATATGACTTAAAATGTACCCACCCACAAACAGAATTTGAGATTTCCAATTATTTTGTTATTTGAGATTGCATGAAAGGAAGCCTCTTGCATACGAAAATACATCTAACTCCTGGAATTATTGATATTACCTATTTGTATAGCCTGTTTCAGGTTGCAGACTTGGTTCCATATTATTCTGCTAAAAAAAAAAAAAAAAAAGAAGTGCTCTCAACTAAAGCTAGAAGAATTTCTAGAGTAAGTCAGTTCTAATCACAGTAATAACAGAGACAAAGCAATTTTTAAATATGGAAAGATCTTTCAGACAGTGCTAGTATATTCATGAACAATATAAAGTTTGTAAGTGAAATTTCAAATGAGATCTCTTTTTCATACACAAATTCCACAGGAAACTAAAGTCTGAAATTTTGAGTAATAAGAAGAAGAAAATTCCCAGAATTCACATCTTTTAAAGAACTCCTGGGTCAGGACCTATACTTCGTCCCAAACTGTGAACCTTTCCTTCTAGTTCTTCAGTCTCTCTCTGATACTTCCTTTCCGATCTTCTTTGGCTTGTCTTTCTTGCATTTATTTACATCTGCCTTTTTTGTTCTCTGCTTATATCTCTTTCTTTTCTTCCCTTTTCCCCCTCCCCCCTGATTTTCCTTTCAACTTCTCTTGTTCCCTTTCTCCTTTCCCTGCTTTCCTCTCTTTGCCTCACTTTTGAAAAATGTGATTTAAAATCTTACAGAAAAAATACTTCACATTTGTCCATGAGCAGAAGACAAACACCAACGGCCCCCCGCATGACCTGCAGTGCTCTATCGCATTCTCTCGCTGTTGTGCCACTTGATGTCTATCCACTTCTTGCTCTTTTATGACCTCAGTTCTATCACAAAATGGAAACTGCCCTCACTAAAGCCACTAAAAATCTTTTATTTCCACACTCAGCGATCGCTGTTCACTCCTTGTTCCACTGGAGCACTGATGGTCCTCTTCTTCCTTTTGTCCTCCTTAGGATCTTTCCTCTCTCGATGTCGACAGTACTCAGCTTTCCAGGTTTCCTCCAGCTTCTCCAATTGCCCTGTTAAGTATCTTTTTCTTGTGTCTCCCTTGTCTCTCATTTGTTTGAGCCAGGACTCTTGGTTGCAGTAGGAAATGACCTGGCTTGTTGAGTGGATACTGACATAAAAATGCTAGAGACGTTGGAGAAACCCGCTGGAAGAACAGAATGAAGAACAGTCAAAATCATGTCCCAGCCGGGCTCGGTGGCTCAGCCTGTCATCCCGCGCCTTTGGGAGGCTGAGGTGAGGGGATTGCCTGAGCCCCGGGTTCGAGACCCGCTTGGGCAGCGAGACCTCATCTCCCCAATAAATCAAAAAATCAGCCGGGTGTGGTAGCGCGTGCCTGTCATTCTGGCTACTTGGAAGGCGGAGGCGGAAGGATCGCCGGAGCCCGGCAGGTCGAGGCTGCGGTGGCCGGGAGCGGCCCCTGCCCTCCAGTCTGGGCGACAGAGTGAGACTCCAACTCACAAAAAAAAAAAAAAAAAAATCATGTCCCAACACTAGTTCAATGAAACTCTTGTCACTGTTGAACTTTTGAATGCCACAGCTCACACTATCAATTCCATTGTTGTGGATGGACATATTTTCTGGAGTCCTGACATTGCTGCTTTCACAGCCTTTACATCTGAAATTCTCTTTGCTCCCTGTTCCTTTGTTTTTCCCTCACCAGATTCCAAATGTCTGGTGGTGGGTTTGACTGGTCAAACTTAGATCAAGCCTCCTCACTCTAGGTGCAAGAGGGTTTTTAAAAAAGCGAGTTTCTAGCTCTAGAGTGGGTAGTATTCTCTCTCCACCACCAAGATTCATGTGGTAGATAAGGGGACCAAGTGTTGACCATCTAATAAATGGCATGTAACCACTTTATAAACTGTTTAACATAACTTTATTAAGTTTATTTCCTCCCTGTTCCTCTTTTACTTTTGACACATTCTCCAATGCATAGGACGCCTATAACTATGCCTTCAACTACACCAGTGACACCCATGCCATTATTTATTAAGCTCCAGTAGAGTCATACTACTAAGTACATCTCACCTGAATGCTCAGAGGATGCCCCATCCCCATACCTGCCAATGAATTTCCAATCTCACTTTTAACCACCAAGTGACTTCTCTTTCTTTTAGTGACCAGGCTCTTCACATCTAATATGTTACGAAGTTCGTGTTGACACTGCATTTCTAAATTCTTTTGACCCAAATTGTTGTCCTCCTCATCGCTCTCAATGTCTTATCACACTTGTACTAGGTACTTCACATGCATTTGAATTACCTGGATAGCATTTTTAAATGCATATTTTTAAGCTCATTTTTGAGTTGTAGAATTTATTTCTATAGTAATCCCTCATATTCTGTATTTTAGTGAGAAATTCTCATATGTAATCTGATGTGAGATCCCTGGACAATAGAAAGAGCTTCCTGATTAGTATCTCTGAATCCAGTTTCACCTCTTTGCAGCCTATTTTCTATAAGACAAATTATTTAATTATAAGATGTCTTAAATGCCACTCTGTCATAAAATTTTCAGTTCATGACTACTGCCTGAATAATAAAGAATAAAGTTCAAAGTCCTTCACATGGCTTTAACTCACTTTATGTTCTGGCCTTACAAAGTTCTTTTCCCTTGATCCTGCATTCATATCTCAGACACAGTATTTTCTACAACACTCAGTAGTGTTCACTATTGAGATGCCAGCAATGCATGGCATCTTTTCATTTAAATCTCTTTCTTTCTACACATTCTTTAAATTCAAATAATTGTATTTCTTACATTTCTTTAATTTTCTATAAATATTTGTCATCTATTACAGTGTAATACATAAACGAAAAGACGTTCTGATGTGTATGATTTTATTTTAATGTTTCTCCTCCAGTATTCACTGTATATATTCTTAATTCATGTTTCTTTTTACTTCTATTTCATTTTATTCCATTTAAGAAACATTCAGTGAGGACATGGAAAAGGAAAATGAAACACTGATGAGAGAGTTTGTTCTCACAGGACTTATATATCAACCAGAGTGGAAAATCCCCCTGTTCCTGGCATTCTTGGTAATATATCTCGTCACTATCATGGGGAACCTTGGTCTGATTGTTCTCATCTGGAATGACCCTTACCTTCACATCCCCATGTACTTATTCCTTGGGAGTTTAGCCTTTGTGGATACTTGGTTATCATCCACAGTGACCCCAAAGATGCTGGTCAACTTCCTAGTCAAGAATAAGATGATATCTCTGTCTGAATGTATGATACAATTTTTTTTCTTTGGAACCACTGCAACCACAGAATGTTTTCTCTTGGCATCAATGGCATATGATCGCTATGTAGCCATATGCAAACCTTTACTCTATCCAGTGATTGTGACCAATACACTATGCATCCGCTTGTTAGTCTTGTCATTTGTAGGTGGCTTTCTTCATGCATTAATTCATGAAGTTGTTATGTTTAGATTAACCTTCTGTAATTCCAACATAATATATCACTTTTACTGTGACATTGTCCCATTATTAAAAATTTCTTGTACGGATCCTTCTATTAATTTTTTAATGCTTTTTATTTTATCTGGTTCTATTCAGGTATTCACCATTGTGACTGTTCTTGTCTCTTATACTTTCGTTCTCTTTACAATCTTAAAAAAGAAGTCTGTCAAAGGCATAAGGAAAGCCTTCTCCACCTGTGGCGCCCATCTTTTATCTGTGTCTTTATACTTTGGCCCCCTCCTCTTCATGTATGTGCACCCTGCATCTCCAAGAGCAGAGGATCAAGACATGATGGCATCTTTATTTTACACAGTCATGATTCCTTTGTTAAATCCCATTATCTACAGCCTGAGAAACAAGCAAGTCATAGATTCACTGATGAAAATATTAAAAGGAAATATTTAGATTTCATACTAGAACTCATCCTCTTTATTTAAAGTCACAAAACTGTACTGGCTAAAAGTGGGTATGTGTTAGTACGTATTAGGTTTTTTCTGCAAATACATTTGTCACAACTTTTTATTTATTTATTTATTTATTTATTTATTGAGTTGGAGTTTCACTCTGTCGCCCAGACTGGAATACAGTGGCCGCTCCCGGCCACCGCAGCCTCGACCTGCTGGGCTCCGGCGATCTTCCACCTCAGCCTTCCAAGTAGCCGGAATTACAGGCATGCACTACCACACCCGGCCAATTTTTTGGGGGGGATTTATTGTAGAGATGAGTTCTCACTGCCCAGGTGGGTCTCGAACTCACAGGCTCAGGCAATCCACTCACCTCAGCCTCCCAAAGGTGCGGGATTACAGGCTGAACCACTGAACCTAGCTTGTCACAACTTTTTAATGACTTAAGATGTTAGCACCTAATAAACTTCTTTGATATTTAGATTTGTTACTCGAAAGCATACAAGGAAATTTTTTCAAACATTTATGACTTACTAGAATAATTAGAGCAGAAAACAAATAATAACATTTTATAGACTTCTTTGTTCCTGTATGGCTTTATAAATGGATTAAGTGTTAAAATAGTGTAGATTCTCTGATAATGACTTGAGTATAATGTCTTGGTATTAATACAGGTTTATAGACTGGTGATTCATATCACATTTACTCCATATAAGTGACATCTTTGTGTTTGGTTGAACACAGGCAAATCTCACAAATTCAGCTAGTCATCAAAAAGTCTTTTATTGCACTTTACTGGGAAATAGAGAATAATTTTTCCTAGCAGAGATTCAATTCTCATATCACTAACAGAAATTTTAAAAAGAGAAACAAATGAGAAGAAAACTAAAACAGTGAAGGCAGAAAAAAACTATGAGAGGACGCCCTTAGCTTGGTGTGCCTCTGTGAGTGAGGAAAGGCCAGTTGCCCTTCCCTGTCTGTGATGCTTTCCAAGGATCTTCCATATGTGTTTGGATGTAATTTGGCAATCAGGAAAGCTTCTCTCATTCAGAAAGTTACCAGATTAGCCTGGAGAATTACATTGGGATGAGTTTAGAAAACAAAAAATCAGAACAAAACAAAACAAAAACAGAGGTGGCAGATTAGGAAGGAAAGGGTCTCAATCTTCTCTGAGTTTTTTAAAAAAGCAGCAACTAGTAAAATAAATAAATCAGGTGATATTTAAATCTTATTGGAATGTGTTTTTGACAATGAGGACTTTAAATTTATATGGGAAAATACAGATAATATCATCATATGATGTCATATGCATAGTAGATGCTGGAACAGACATGAAAATGAGCAAGAGTTCAGATGCTTTGTAGCTATAAAGTCCTTGATTGTTAACTTTCCTCAAACTAATAATGAGTGACCCATTTTTAGGCAACCCCAGTCCTTCCTCTTTCAACTGATATCACTCAGTTCCTTACTCTAAAACCTACTCATCTGTGTTTTGCAAAACTTATCTTTTTCATCTGCTCATACTTTCTTTTTTTTTTTTTTGAGTTGGCGTCTCACTATGTTGCCCAGACTGGAGTGCAGTGCCACTCCCGGCCATCGCAGCCTCGACTTGCTGGGTTCTGGCGAGCCTTCCACCTCAGCCTTCCAAGTAACTGGAATTACAGGCATGCGCTACCACACCCGGCTGATTTTTTGATTTATTGTAGAGATGAGGTCTCGCTGCCCAGGCGGGTCTCGAACCCGTGGGCTCAGGCAATCCACTCACCTCAGCCTCCCAAAGGCGGGGATTACAGGCTGAGCCACCAAGCCTGGCTGCTCATACTTTCTTATCTTACCTTTCAAACACTGGCCAGATGGCTTTTTACAAACAAGACTCATTAAATCGTATCCTTCTTCAATAACATTTAATGAATTATCATTTTACCAGCTTATTCCAGAAGAAGGCATTGTTATCCTAGGAGATGACAGCACCATGTATATGACAACTCCATGAAGATTTTCCAGTAGGACAAGATGTAAAGGTGGTGAAAGACAGTGATATGGTTGATCCTGACCCTTGTAGACCCAAGATAATGTGTATGCTTGTGTTTTAGTTTTTAACAAAAAAGTTGAAAAGGTTAAAAAAAAAAAAAAAAATAGAAAAAATCTTACAGAATATAAAGAAAAATATTGTGGTATAACTGTTTGTGTTTGCTTTTTATGCTGTTATTACAAGAGTCAAAAAGTTTTAAAATTTTTAAAATCTTTATAGAGTAAAAGTTACAGGAAACTAACGTTAATTTAGTGTTGAAGAAAGAAAATTTAAAAAAATAATGTAGTGTAGCCTAATGTCCAGTGTTTATAAAGTCTACAGTAGTGTACAGTAATGTCCGACCTTCACTCACCACTCATTAGCCAACTCACCCAAAAATACCTTCAGTCTTGCAAGCTCCATTCATTGTAAGTACCCTACTCAGGTCTATCCTTTTTTATCTTTCATACTATGCTTTTACTGTATCTCTTCTATGTTTAGGTACACAAATACTTACCATTGTGTTACAGCTACCTACAGAATTCAGTACTCACATCAATTACATTATTCACTTCTATAACTGTTCATGTGGTCAAAGCTGGTGTATATAACTTTCTTCCAGTACCTATTTCTTATTCTGACTGCTTTTAGTAAGCACCTCAGCTGGTTGTGGTTCTTCACCTGGTATGGTGTGACCCAAATCTTCACTCCTGAAGGGTCTGGGGTTGTTAGTATTCCAATATGGATAGGGTTGCTTAAGTTTACCATTAACTATAATAATAAGGCATGGTAATGCCAAGACACCCTAACTAGTGCAGTCACTTCCTTCTTTGCCTATTGATTCAGAGAAATGAGGAGCCTGAATTGACTAGGTGGCAGTAGGAAATTTCATGAATCTCATGAGTTTCAGTGGGTTGTTGTGTCTCCTAGTGGAACATTAGTTCCTCTGGAACTAAGACCTCTAAGCTGGGAGAGAAATGAGGTAAGGGGACTGGAAGAAAAGTTTTGCTAATAGATCACTAGGGATAACAATGAGTATTCCCACCTCTATTTTCACCAGTGCTTCTTCTGGGTCCATGCATCCCAACTATGAAAGACACAGCATCACATATTGTATTCTGATGCAAAGTATACAAATATTTGGAGAACTGCCCTACCCCTGTGAGATATCATAACATCTCTGTTAAGTGGGTCTTTGGAAGTTACTTATTTATTCTGTCAAATTGGTGACTTTAGGCTAGTACAGAACATGACAAGACCAGTGAATTTTATGAGATTGGGCTCATTGTCTCACTTCTTTTGCTGTGAGATAAGTTCCTTGATCAAAAGCAATGCTGTGTGAAATACTGTGATGGTGTACAAGGATTCTGTAAATAGTAATTTTGGCAGAAGCATTGATGAATGGGAAGCAAATGTGTGTCTAGAATATCTGTCTCACTAACAACAAACACAGATCTTTCCTTTTTGGAAGTGGCCTAATGTAAGTAACCTGGCATCAGGTAGCTGACTGATCACCCTGGGAAATTATGACAAATTAAGGACTCTATATTGGTCTCCATTGCTAGGAAATAGGGCATTCATCAGCAATCCCATTCAGGATAGACTTGGTGAGTGGAACTCCATGTTGCCGAGACCTTGTCTATCCTTCATTCTTTACACAATGACCATTTTATTAATAAGCCTATTGGTTGGATGGCAGCAGAATCAGACTATGGAGTCCCAGCATGAGTGAGTATACATGTGAGTAAGTGGGCATGTGAGTAACTGAGTGGTGACTCAGGAGCGAGTGGCCAGGAATCCCCTGGGTGAAGCAATTGGTGCTGCAACTACTCTGTTTGGACCCTAGCACTTCCTGGGGCACATAAGCCAAGTGCCACTTTTTTTTAATCAGCAAAGCCTTTCCTGGGAAGAAGCTACCAAGAGTAACTGTGTTAGTTCCAGACTCTGCCTCACCACTGGAGTGCCTGGCCAGATTCTGGCAGCAAGGGTTGTGGAGGAAGCACAACAAGGGAGCCCAGAGGCAGAGCCCTACAGATCAGAGGCAGCCTGCCACCATCTTGTAAACTGGGCCGCAAAGTGCTCCAGCTTGCTCACCTTGTCATGGAGTGACAGACCTCATCTCTGTAACTGGCAGATTAACTACTCAGGGATTGATCATGACTCAGGGGGAATAACCTGAAAGCACAAACTCTGGAGGAACAGAACAAGTGCTGAGTCTCAGGTGCCCCACCTCCTACCCTGATTCAGCCACAGGACAAAGGATGTGACCAGAAAAGAATGAGAAAGACTGCAGAAGAGATCAGCAGTGAGTCTGGAACTGACCCAATCCCTCCTCCCCAGTAATCCTCTGAATGTCAGACCCACACTGCTGGGGTATGACTGAGAGGGATGAACCCAGGCAGAACTTGGAAGTCAACCATGATAGGAGGACTCTACTCCAGGATAGGCCTGGCTGGGATGACCCCCCTAAGCACCTGGGAAGGGAGAATCCTGTACTTACCCAATGGAGGGAATCCCCCTAACCATACGAGAGTGGAAGGGGAGAACTGAAGCCCTACCAACCCCCGCGGCCTCTTCCTCCTTTCCTGACTGGGGAGATTGTGAATAAAGCTGCAGCTCCACAGGAGACAGCAGAGGAGTTTACCTGTGACCAGCTGAGAGGCACAATTACAAAATCTGCCACAAGAGGGCAGGTTATTTTTTGGCTTTTTTTTCTGTTTGTTTTTTGTTTTGTTTTTTTCTTTTCCTTTGTGCACGAATGTGTATGTGAGGATTCTGTCTGCATTCCTCCCATCTTTTTTCTTCTTATTTTTTCTTTCCTCTTTCAATTTTTGACTTCTGTTTTTATGAACATGAATGACTGAGTGTTCATCTTTCAGAGTTTTTTTGTTCTTTTCTTTTTTTAGTTTAATGTGCATGTGAATGTACGTGTAAGGGTTCACTTTGAATTTCCTTTTTCTTTTCTCTTTTCATTTTGTATTTGTGTGTGT